TTAATAATAGCTGATTTTAAATAGGATATCACATCAAATATTAATCAAATGATATATGTATTGGTTTAATTAGTTAACTTTCAATAGAAAAGTTCGTTTTTATTGAGGTTTTATTAAAAGATTTTGTAGATTTCAAGTGTGGTCCGAGCTTTAAAAATTCCACAAAGACCGGGAGATTTTTGGGACAATAAATATATAGTATTGATTCCTGTGCTGAATAAAACTGTTCTGAATAAATTCCTTCCTTCTGTTCAGGGCTTTGAAGGCTTTACGTACGAGGAAATATATAAAACAGACTCAACGGGAAACCCGTTCTGCGCTGTCATTAATAAATTATACGTAGACAATCGGGAAAACGTCATTTCGGTGAGTATTAGAAAATAGTCATTTATTGTTATTAACATGTCACATAAAATTCAGCAAAGCGACACAAAAACTCCACCCCATACAACAGGGTCCGCCAAAGACAAACCTGCAGCTATAACAAAATCGAAACAATCATCGAGACCCACATCGAAAGCTTCGATGAAGCCACCAACAAAGTCCAGAAGCTCCAAGTAACTGGGTCCCGTCCTCCTCGTTGACCCATCGAAACAGTTAGCTTAAGCCTAGATAAATGAGTAGAGGTTAAATTGCGATAACAGTTTTCGTTACTCGCGTAGTTCAAGTACAAGTTTTAAGTGTATTCATCGAGGAAACGAAACGGTTCTTCCCGCCAAAAGGCAAAAGGGATTGACTTGTAAAATATACCCATAAGTAAGGTCTTGTTTATCTGATGTATGTACTGTACGTGTACACAATTGTGTCGTCCTATTGGGGGAGTAAGCCCAAAAGTAACTTTTCGAATTGGCCGAAAAAGAGAAGCAGGGAGGGCTTATCACTGCAATCGGAGGCCAAAATACATATATATACGATTACTATGTGGTAAATGACATTCCCGTTCGAGTTCGAGTTTCAGCCACAGCCAGAGACCCTGTGTGCACCTAGCACTCCACTCCTCCCTAGCACTCGTGTTCGAGCCTGTATCCAGTGTACATACAATACTTGCCATTCGAGTCGTCTGATTTATTTTCCCATATATTTTGTACGAGCCAAAAGTAAAAGATTTCATTTCACGGCCCCCCGCGTTGCTGTCTACATGCGACAAATACAAATCGCTCGCGAATGTGTTTATTGAGGAAACTCCACTATATGTAAGTTCATCTGGAATTGCCCTCGCCCCCTTCCCCCTTCCTGTTCCTTTTCCTTCGTCTTTTCCGTCCCCAACTGGGGAATCGGAAATAGGTTTCGTGTTATTTATTTACCCACAATCGACACGCGAGGCAGGCGAACAGTGATATGCATATCGATGAGTGGAGGGAAGACTAAGGCCTAGAGGTGCTCGTGAAGCCCGTGAGCACGAGCCTCACGACACCACACTAAATCCGTCCGAAACATTTGTTCCATTTTAGAGATAAGACCTGAAAGATGTCTAAGCAATGACTAAAACACGAAAGTCTATCCTCCGCATCCCCACTATGGATCATCCATTAAGGGATGAACTTCCGAACTTCCGATGACTCCTTCCTGTAAGTCCCTCTTCACGTGATCATCTCTATCATAGTTAGCCAGGGCAAAATAAACACTGCTCCGGAAACAGTCGAGGAGTTGTCGGCACTTGGAAGCGCAGTCCACATCAGAGTCCCGTCATCCGTCGTCGGTTGCTGTTTATTCGGATTCGGGTGAAACAATGCCACGGAAAGCACAGGACTCTGGTCCAATACGAAGCCTGTGAACATCATACACACGCGCCGCTAGACTAACACGTAAAACAGACAATTTACGAGCCTTAATTAGTCACTCTCGCCCTCGCCCTCACCCTCGCTGTGCCCCATCCACCCACAAAAAGTTGTATTGAAGTTTCCCGGTGGCAATACGCGCGAAAATGAAAGACGCGAAGTGTTTCGGCCTGGTCTGGTGGCGGGGAGAGCGTGCAATTAGCCAAAGAGTTTGACAGCCGCGCGGTGATACGTCGGAAAAAGTTGGCCCAAACTGTAAATTGTTTTTGAGTGGCGGCAAGCACGGACAGGGGGTGGCAAAAACTGTAAATGTGCAAGCTAAGGCAGCAAAAGGTGCTGGCAAAATAGTTTCAAAACTACTTGCATATTTAGCGGATTTCCCTTCACTTGTAGGACAACTTTTGATGGGTACAGATACAGAGGGAACTGCAACCCTCTGACATGAAGTCTCCAACAAATCATAACAATTCATTGCCCCCAAGCCAAGCAAAGCCAAGCCAAGCCAAGACAATCCTAGCCGGGCCAAGTCATTCGTCTTAATCGATTTTCACATACCTATAGCCTATCATATTCAGCAGGATCGCTCGCAACGGTTCCTGGTTACTGGCTGCTCCCTCGCCTCCTACTCCAATATAATATGCCTTTAAAAGTGTTTTAAGTACGCGTAGCCACGCTTCCCCTGCGCCAATCCAATCCAAGCAGACGGACTGACTGACTGACGTCTCAGTTCACTCGTACCCGAGTATGTAAATCCGTGGCAGCCCTGGCTGCCCTGACACCCGTGGCAGCTTTATTTTCAAATCGTGTCAAACAGTAGGGCCAGGCCAGGCCAGGCCAGGCGAGGACAGGGGAATAAGTATAATAATGTCTAAAAAACTACAGACAACCTTCGAGGGGGACTCCCGACTCCCCACTTCTGACTCCGACTGCCGAAGTGCCAAAGAAACAGAACTTTGAAACCCGATACCTTGCCACCTACGGCGCTACGGCACTACGGAGCTCTAGAGTGTGAGTGGGCCGAGGGAGGAGGGCAGAGTCAATCAATTCGATTTGGTTTTATTTTCGTGACAAAGTTTTAATAGCAATATTATTGAAATGAAATGAAATGAAATGAAACGGTAATGAAGCCGAAATTCGTCTCGGAGACGAGTATGAACGAGTATTTTTGGGTCTGTGCAATATGAAACTGACACGACACGAAAGGTGCACCACTCACACGACGCCAGAAACAATTTAAAGTCAACAGCAACAAGAAACCCTGCCAGAGCTTTGAGCCCTCTAGCAACCCGTAGACAACGTTGTCTGAGAGCTCGGACAGTATATGTTCCGTATTCCGTCTCCGGGCATAGGATAATTAGTTACAGATTTGTGAGAGTATTTTGAGCATTGCCATGGTAAGCCCTAGCACGTTGGCTCCTGTCCCAGTTTCCATTTCCACCTGTTATGTACTCCAGACCGACGAGGCGGCGGACTGTCCTCATCGACAGGAGCTTGAGCACACCCTACTCCACTGCCAAACCCAATCGGAGATCTTGCAGGCCACGCGGGACAACTACCTGAGCATTATCGATGAGTTCAAGCGGGACCTTGAGGAGCTGACCGAGCAAGTGGAGCAGCAGCAGCACCCGGAATTAGAGCAGTGCTCGGAATCGGACTTGGAGCTCGAGGAACCACCCCGGATCAACCTCAACAGCGCACTAGAGATACAAGTTGGCCTCAAACACACACAGACACAATAGCCCCAGACTCATTGACTGCATGGTTAACCCCCTTCACTTTCTTTAATCTCTGCCCCTATCCCGTTCCATCACAGAACCAGCATTTGATCGAAGTGATAAGTGGGCTGCAAGAAACGCTAAGACATCGCGATGGAGAAGTGTCCCAGCTGCAGAAAATGATCCAAAGCTACTCCGATTTCAGCAGGAACCAGAGACTCAACGATGAGATCGACCGCCTCAAGGAGGCCCTAAGTTAGTTTCGATGAAGTGGAAATGAGTAGTAGGAGTAGAGAGAATTAATACCTTTCACCCCAGGTGCACAGAATCAAAAGATTCGTGAGATGGCGTCCTTGCTGAAGAACAATGAAGATCAGTGCGAAAATCTCAAGACGACCTACGACGATCAGTGCAAGGAGCTGAAGAAGTCCAAAAAGCGCCAGCAGAGCCTAGAGGAATCTGCCTGTAAGGTGGAAACCGAGCTAAAATCGGTGATAATAGAGGTAGGAGACCGATTCTTAAAATCCATCGGAAATATCCCCACTAATAATCCCTACCTTTCCCAGCGCGATCTGTTGCGGGAAGAGGTCCAGGCTCTAAGAGAGAAGGATGCCAAAGCCACCGGACGCGAGCGGGCGTTCTGCGACCAGCTGAAGATCAGCGAAAAGGAGCTGAACAATTCGCGGCGGGTTATCCAAAGCCTGCAGGATCAAGAGAAACAATGGAAGCAACAACACCGAGAGACCGTCAAGCAGTTGGATGCAGCGAATGCCACCATGGAGCAGAAGCTTCGGGAATGCGAGTGCGAACAGAAGAAGATACGGGGCAAGCTAAAGTAGGTATGCCGTATGAATGGATGTACATCAATCTAAGAGCAGATTCCGTGTGGAATGACAGGCAGCAGGAGGAAGTAAACGAGCAGCAGGAGGGGATAATCAGTTCGTTTAGGCAGTGGAAGGATGCACAGATTAGGGTGGACGAGGCAAAGCGGCAGTGCGAACAGCGGGCAGAGGAGCAGATCAGAATGCTCATGGAGGAGTACCGGACGCTGGTCCTTGATTACAGGTCCCTGCACCGGGACCATTCCCTACTTGAAGCCGAGATACTACGCGTCAAGAAAGCCGTCCACCGAACCACATCCCCTTCGACGCAGCCGGACTGTGCCCGGGTCCCCCCGCATATCGGCGACGATGTGAGTGATGAGTGTTGGCTCAATTTAGGCCGAATACCCTGACTTGACCTACCTGTCACTAATTAATTTCTTCACATTGAACAATACAGCAAATGACCAACCGTATGCGCATCCTGGCCAATACATCACAGCGCCTTTCTATCCACTCTCAAATGCTCAATGACCATTCAGTGCCCCAAGAACAGGCTCGTTCGCGAAAAGCTAGCCAGAAGGAACAGGAGCGGGCGGCAGCGCTGTCGAGTCAAGAAAATGCATCCCCGTCAAGGAACTCATAGTCCTCGGATAGCCCATTGTTCGAAGAGCAGTCCATTTAAATTTCATTTAACTAAAACCCATTTACCATTCGGCCAACACATTTACAATAAATTTAAGTGTAATCGAAATTAAATAAACTGAGTGCTGGTGTAGAACTATTTTCCCTACCCGCTACCTATAAAGGCTGCTTACTGATGCGCCTCCTCCTGCATCAGCTTTTCCCGCTCGCCTATCGCCAACAGAGACATCTTTATCTGGGTCCGCTTCTTGATGCTCTCATCGCGCAGGACATCCGCCTCCTTGGTGAGTATCTTGATCCGCACATCGCTGAAGCGCTCCGCCTCCGCCATGCTCATTTCCAGGAACACGTCCTTGCCCACGTTAACCAGGATCTTGTCCATTTGCGACACGCGCGCTTGCATGAACACGTTGCTGCCGATGTTCACTTGGGTCTTGTAACCTTCCGGCAGGTGGGCGTCGAATGTCTGCAGGGTGTTCTTCAGCTGGACATACTCCATGATCTCTTGGTTGTATTGCCCGATCCAGTTCTCCAGTTCCCTGAGGTCGCGTTTTAGGACTTCGTTGATGAACTCTTCGATCTGCGTAATGCGCGCTTGATGTGTGTCGGGCTGGGGGCCACTGCAAACGTGATATTTGTATTCTCCTCCTGTGGCGTGTGCTGACATGCTTACCGTTGGATGCGCTCGTAGGCGACACCTGTGGATTTTTCATACATTTTCGCAGATTTTTGTTTGTTTTTGTTTAAAATAGTGATGTAAAAAATATCGATGCATCGAGCATCGATGTTTTTTTGCCGATGTTTACCGATGTTTTAATGTACCGATGTAATAAAAGCTGACCGCAGTGTGACCCTCAGAAATATACCAAAATATACCGTCTCATTTTCAAAATATACTGATTATTATATATATTTTTCGTTGTTGATTTTAAGTGCAAATGCAGAATCATCACCATATCTTGATCCAAGTAAAGTGATTAAATACCGATTCATAAACTATTCAAAGAGAGCGAAAAAAAGAGAAACCCGATTTTAAGAGAGCAAAAAGAGCCAGCTACCGTTTTGAAGAAATCAGTTCGGCCATCGATACTATCGATTGGACGCGAGTGGTGCGAGCCAAACAGAAATTGTTTGAAAATGAATGAGCGAAAAGGATTTAAAATATACCATTTTATACCGTCTCAATTGTGTCCTATATTTCTGCGCTTATTAATTTCGTTGTAAATAATAACATACAATTTCCTAGTAAGAAGGAAGCTCTTCCGGTACTATCGGTATTTCTGTCTAAAATTTGTAAAACCATGCATTGAGCCAACAGCTGATCGCCCTTCGCTTTCCAGCACCGCTACTTTTTGGCGGGGAGCCAAATTCAAGTTTGCACGTTTTAAAAAAATTCAATTGGGGGCTCTGATTAATTCCAGCCCGAGCAGCCTGTGCACGCAATGATAAACAAAAGATTTCCCATCATTTTTCGAGTGCTTTGTCTGCGACGCAGGCAAAAATCAAAACTGAATCGAAATTGAAAGCGAGTGCAGACACCACTTTCATTAGCATTTTTAATGCTGTGTTGTTAACCTTTGCATTTGAACCCTGTCGAAATGTTTCCTGGTCTGGTTGTGTCATCTGTCAGTTCAGCTGTCAGGTCGACTTATAGGCCATTTTAATTTATTTTAGCCAGGCGTCAACAACTGTGTAAGTTTTTTCCCTAATTTTCCATATTTTTCCTGTGGATGCTTCACGGCTCTCCCCCACAGCGTTCGCCATGAGTTTATCTTTGATGCGGAAACTTCTGCCACCGAAAAAGATGTGGACCGTGGCCGGGACTACAATGCAAGTGCGTCACCATGCCCCCATTGCTGGTCCACCGCGATTTCCAATGTCGCCCGGACAGAAGCTGATCATGGGCGGGGGTTCAATACTGGTCATGATGATCATCCCCTTCTGGGCCCTCTTCCAAGTTCCCCGTTGGTCTAAACTGCACAACGGCATCGAGGAAGAGGTCGAGGAGAAGGAGCAGGAGGAGGCCGCTCCGCCCGAGAAGGAGCCGCCCCCACCAAAGGACGAAAAGAACGAACAGAAGCACTAACTACTCAAAGATGAAGACACTTCGGACACGGTGCAATGTCCATCCACACGTTGTATACTTTTAAACGGTGACTTCTTATGGACTCTTTTACTGGGGCCAACGCACACTTCCACCCACTACCATTCCACATTCCACTGGAATCTTGTAACACCCACACTGTGCACCCAAAACTACATAAATAATTACAAATTTACAATGTACAGATACAAAATAATGCCAACGCTTAGCAACAGCGTGTGAATTAAAGCGATGTTATTGCAGCCCTAAAGAAACTACACCGATCTTCACTTTTTGATGACCCAATGGGATCGTTACAGATGTACGCAAAGGATCGGAATTTATTCTTCTACCAGTACTCCACTATGACAAGAACACCCCACAAAGCGAAAGGTTCTATAAGAAACTATGTATATAATTGGCGCGGAAAGAGACAATAGGTGTACCAAGTTGATCTGCAAAACGACGTTTATTCAGACTTCAGTACTTCAGAAGGATGGTGTTTTCCTTGAAGCATGCATGTGCATATTTATATGTATTAAGAATTAGGATTATGAAAATAGCCGAGGAGCTTTCCGTTCTTCTGACTGGCTTTCACTTTCTCAGAAGCAGATGCGATGCTACTTAATTTTCCAAAATTGGACCGCCTGGACAAGGAGATATGTAGACTTATCCTATAACGAGAGGCTATCTACCAAAAATACGTCATAAATTATAAGCTTTATGGGGAGTATTTATCGAATTATCAAAAACTGCTATTGATTTACTTTGAAATCTTCAGAGATCCGCGCTGGGGCCTCCAACCAATTAAGGATCTTCCCCATCGACGACAATAAACCAACCAGTAATCCATTGTCCGCATCCAATTAGCCTCTGCAAACACCTCAGCCAAGCTCCAGGCTCCTTGGAAAATGCTCTGTTCGGCCCCTGCCTGCCACGAGTCTATTTTCCACGGCTGCCTGCCACAAATCAAAAACTTACAAAAAAAACCGAAAAACCAACAAAACTAAACGAAACAAAACGAAATCCCCCCCCCCCCCCCCAAAGCAAGCCAGAAAACCCAAAAAGCAAAGTGCCAACTTTCATTAAAAGTATTTCTGCGCTCATTGCCAATGCAAGACATTGCATTCAATTGTGGATTTTGCTTTGTTGGGTTTGTTAGTCCCAGCCACAGCCACAACCACAGCTCAGACTTAGCCTTAGCCTTAGCCTGGGACTTTGACCAAGCCACCATCCAGCATCCACCATCCCCAGCATCCACCATTCAGTATCCAGCGGCCAGCAGCCTCCCGTGGTCTGGGCCTTGTCGGATCCGATCCTCATGATCTACAACATAGCGTGACCTTCTTCGCCTTCCAGGCCCATGGAGGATAGGATGGGGAGACTTGCGGCAAGGCAAGGAAAAAAGGAAAACAACGAAAGACAAAAAAAGAGTCGCACACAGAGTTTGAAAAAGTAAAAATCGTCGAAGGAAAGTGAATTTCTTTTTAAGCAAATCAACTGGCCACGCCCCCCCGTGTCTCCCGTGTCCCCGACTCCCATGCGCCTCCTCCTCGAGCTAGACTTGGAGATTCACAGATTTTTTGGTGAAATTTCATGTGCCATTAAACTGGTTCTGTCAGGCAGTGGACTGTCGATCGGGTTTGGGTTTGGGTTTGGGTTCGGCGACTCCGACTCCAGCACTCCTTGCAGCCAGTCGGATCGGATCCCATCGGGAGTGGGTCGACGACTACGTGGCGCCCTTTAACTGAATTTTGGAATTTATTGACCACAGATGAAAGTCTTAATAATATTTTCCCATCGAATGGAATCCATCATTCAAAGAAAGGGCACTATTTATTTGTTCAATGGGAGGCGGGTGTTCCTGCTTGAAAGGGCCCAACATACCCGGATGACAATGGAACCTCGCACTCTAAATCGTGTGAATGAGGCATGCTCCCAGCTGGCACTGGCACCGGCACCCTGGCCCCCCCCGTCCCCCCAATCACCTATAAAGATGCTTCATTTTCATTTTTATGGCCCGCCATTGAAGTCTCATTTCTTTGTGGAAAGGAAGCTGCCTTCCTGCGGTGTCTTCGGCTCGTGGGCGTTGCACTGCTCTGATCTGCACTTGTTGCACTTGCCACACGTTGCGTTGCGTCAGTTTAGTGTGTCAGAAGCCGCAAGAAGAAAGTTGCCCGGGCCTCCATTGATCCGGTTTACAGTCGGTTGGTCGACAGGTTCGTTGTTCCTGCGGAGGGGCGCGGATCAGCTCGGGGCCACATTTTACTTTCTGCTGCCACGAAAAATCGTTGTCCACTTTCGGTCGCAATTAATTATGCGGCGGGAGCTGAAAATGAAAGTGCGCTCAGGTTTCAGTCAGCTCGGAGTCGATCCAAGCAGAGCACAGCAGGATCGATCTGGTTCTGACTCTCTCTCTCTGTCTTTCTATCTTTCTCTGGCTGATGATGTGCCTCGATTTGTGTGGTCCATCGCTTTCCCAGTGGCTGCAAAACGGCTGGTTCCCATCATTAGACGCCAAGCGACTCTATTCCTGGCCCGGAAAGTGAGAACAAGATCTTCATTATCGCAGTCGGCAGTCGACGGGGATGTCGATGTCGTAGTCGCAGTCGTCGGCAATCGACTCATAAAGAGTTTGCTTTATGGTAGCCGACTGCCCCGCCTCTCTCCGCCCCGCGTCCTGGTGGTCGCCTAGTTTATGACTGTATAACCGCAGATCGTGGCCCGATCCTCGCTGATTTGTCGCCTCCATTCAAAGACCGCCCCAGACCGCAGTCTTAAAGTGTTCTCTGAATATTGCCGCTAAATAATGAAAAAGTGTCGCCGACCTGTTGTCGGCACCTGTGTGGTGCTTGGCTGGCGGTTGGGTCCTGCGGCTGGCTCTTTGTCCATGCTAATGGCCACTGTGGAGCCTTCAATGTTCAAGTGTGATACTAGAAATAAGGAGGATCAGTATGATCAGGGGGGAATATAGTATAGAATATAGTATAAAATAGAAAGAGTTTTCGAAAAGATCTCAATTGAACAACAATTATATTATAGCCCCAATTAAATCCGCCTTCGGTGACTTGTGTGGCCCGCTGACCATTTGTGGCAACTTCAATTTTCCACTTCCAGAAGGAAATCCCCTGCCCCCCATCGTCTAACTCGAATTTATCGGGCTGTCAACACGCCAAGCCAGCCCCGGGCGCTATTGTGCCATTTGTTCCCATGAAAAACTCATTTCGGTTGCGCGCTAATAAAAATTAAGCGCCATCCAATAAAAAGCGTAGACAATTCTGTAAATAAATAAGAGGAAAGCCCACACACCACACCACCTAGACATACGAAGACCAAGACCGGCACCGGGACCGGGAAAACAGCCATCGATCGCCGCCGACGACACGACACGATCAGCGGTTCCATTTGATCTATATGGGAGGGAGGTGCTTTGGGGGACTGTGACCCCGTGAGCGGAACAACAATGCGATATGGAAAACTGTGGCATGTTTTCACAACATCAGTCGCCTCCAACTCCAACTCCAGCTCCAGCTCGGAGCTCATAATCGTTTAGGACGGGGCTCGGATCGGAACTCGCAGACTCCAAGTCTGAGGAGAAATAACTCCAGACACAAATTATATTAATGGTCTCCACTGCCACTGCCGAAGAGGAGGAGAGTATGGCATTTTGTCTCTGCACGAATCACGTTTTAGAAATTGCATTGCACATAGGAGGCAGGAACGAACTACAAAGTACGACTACTACGAGTACGAGTACTCGTAGTAGTGCCCCATTCGGAGGCATTGGAGGCATTGGAGGCATCGGAGGCATTGAGAGACAATCCAATCTCTTTGTCTGTCAGGGCTTTTTGCGCAAGTTCTGAAAAATAAAAAGCTTTTGGGCAGGCTTAAGTGGCACTTAGTTTTAATACGCTGCCCTACCGTTTAAATGGGTCTTGCGCGTTTCCCGTTTCGCGTCTCGGAGTTACCTGAAATAATTACGTGAACACAAATTGGAGCGCTGCTAGGAATCGTTCTGCGATCTGTGCGATTACCATTCCTCTGGTACTGACATTAGTAAGGGTACTACTATTTCTTCGTAGCTGCTTTCACTGGGCAGGCCAAATCGCTCCGCGGATTCTCTTCGGGCCTGCCTTTGTCTCTTGTCACGTCTACTTGAGCACGGCCTTTTCTCGGCGTCTCCGTCTCCGTTCCCTTTGGCCGAATGGGCCGATACACTTAAGCCGCTGAAAAATGTTTTATACCCAACGAAAATAATGCGTATTGTTGTAATTGAAGTGCCATAAAGATTCTGCCATTTGCCATTCCCCAATGGAAATAGAAAATATTCGTATCGCTTGCTGCTGGGGGTTTCTGGGTTAGCTGGTCTGGTATTCGGCACTTGGGTCAATGTGCCACATGTGGCACGGTACACGAACGGTGCGATGATGAGTAATGGGTGTCAAGATGACACCAGCAGCAGAACTGGGTCTCAATTACAGATGGTTATGGTATTATAGTAATAGAGGAAGGGCCCACCATGGGAATGAGGGAAAGTTTACGAATTGGATTGCTATGAAAGCCATCTTATAGCGGATTCAGGGTTACTTGGATTATAATCCCTTCCTTTTATATTCATAGTTTTCCCGGCATTCCTCCATTAGCTCATCCATTCTAAACCCTCTCATGTCTCATTCCAAAGATCGTTTGAGTAGGTCCCCGGAACCCATTAAATCATGCACAAAATTCTCACACTCGAAAATGAAAATAAAAATAATGAAGACATGAAAAAATTGATTACCCTCTCCCCGATGGGGAGAACTAGAAGAACACGTACGATAATCATAACTCTGGGCTCCCTTTTCACACTTTTTTCCCCCCTCTTTGTCCGATCTTGAACCCACATGCCGACTGCCCGACTGCATCTGGGGGCCTCCATCTCCGCCTCCTCGGAGGCCTAATTGCATCACGTTTTTAGAGCAGCCCCAACTGAGGGCTGGGGTGGGGGGATGCACACAAATGCCGACAGAATATTACACAATTGTGGCCTGAACGGAGGGGGGGCCGGCAAAGGGGGCAAATGAATGCAGGGACACAGAAATAACAACGCTAATAGCAAACAGAGGAAAGAAATATAATGCACATTAGCTGCCATGATTTCCACACGTGAGTTAAGATCAGCCCTGAGCAGGCAGGTAGGTAGACTCCATCTCCGTCCCGGCTCCGACTCCGTCACCGACTCTGACGGATCGAGGGAACGTCTGACTGCCTGACTGGCTGACTGGCAGGTTTTGATCATTTTCTTTAATGAACGTTACGCGGTGGCTGTGACAACAATAACCATTTCGGAGGAAGAATGCAACTGGGAGCTGGAAGACATTTAATTACTCTCACATCTCGCATGGGTTGCTCCTGGGCTAATGCTCCGATAACCAGCCAGGATTCTATTCGGATATATGGCTTATTCTGACGACAGCTGATAGTGATCAAAGGTACTCATATTGCTCGTACTTTGAGCGATATTTAATCTGAATTTTGAAAGACGCTTATGGCACAGTGAAGCAACCCGCAAAAAGGGCAGCAGATATCCATTATTATCCATTTTCTATTTTGCCATCTGATGACTTCCTCGAAAACGTACTTTATGCAATTTTTGAGCAAAGTGTCAGGCGCAGCGAAGCGTTGCATCCTCTGCAGCAACAGCTACAACAAAAACTACACACCGTTGCAGCAGCATGTGGCAATCGTACGCAATCTGCAGCCACCAAATTTGGATAGACCTCGGCTGAAGCGGCTTACTTGCGTTTGGCACAGATTCCGAAACTTTAGTTTCGTGCGCGTTTTACGAGAATCTGGCTAGAAGCCTGCATTTAGCGGGGGGAGCCGTAGCCGAAACGGATGCACGTTTCCGGCTCGCGCGGAGGGAGACGCCACGCCGTTGCATGACACACAATGCACGGACCCACGCCCACACCCGACCCGCCAGCGGACTTGGAGCTCGGCCAAGTGCCACCCGCGCGACATGTCAACTCGAATCTAATTGACCAAAAATGCCACGCTTGGCTGAGTCGCCCCGATCCATAGAACGGCCAACAGTCAACAGTCAGACAGGGAAGGTGCTAGAGTGTGCGTGCACCCGACGATCCAATTGAAGTTTTTCGAAAAGTGAGCAATTTTATAGCAGTTATGGTAGTTATAGTAATATTTGTGTATGATATATGAATCTCCAGTCTGGAAGAGCAAAGGTCCTTGGAAATGTGAATTGAGACCCAAGGGAAATCCTTTTTTTTGGAATGCAAATAGGGTTACAGGGAGAATTCTCTTGAGATATCTAGAAATTAATTCGAAAATTATAGTCTTTTTAAGTCCCATTCACATCTCGTATAATTTGTATCATTTTGTATCTATTTATAGTATATCTTTACAATCCATTGTATCGTATTTATACCGAATGACACCGACTTGAGCTTAAAATTCCAATGTAGATAGGTACATCTCGATTGGGATTCATTTGGATTGAAATTTGATATCCTCGTATACTTCTAGAACTGATAAAATTAAGATTAATATCAGAATCGATGCAACATTTAAAGATTGAATGGATTGGCCACAAATTACACACATAAGTCTCTGGCAGATTTTAAAAATGTGGCACGGAAAATCGAACAAAATAAAAACTAGAAGAGAAATCATTCCTGTGCTTATTTGATCCATACTTGAAAACGGTATTTGAATGGATCATTGAAATTGAAAGGTCAATCTCAAAAAGTCGTTGCTCTTACCAAAGAAACCATAATAAAATGTATAGAAAATATTAAAAAAAAAACTTGCAAAAACGATCGTTAGTTTTATATAATAGAATAAAGGAATAAAGCATGAACTAGACCCTGGGACTCATTAGTTCTACCAAACGAGTACTAGCGAGCACACTCCGAGTGTATTGCACTAAAATAAATCTATGTAGCATAGACGTACAGATCTGTTTTTAAAGATCTTTGGAACGAGCTTCAGTTTGCGGGGCATCATAGCTTCGAGTCCGTCTATTCTGCTGGTGTTTGGAGCCTTGTCTTTGGCTGCATGCATTTCATGTGGCTCTGGACTGTTCGAATTATGAATGATTCATGGAAGTCAAGTTCTCGTATTGTTCAAGAACAAAGACAGCCAGCCATGGGCGATGGCGATGGCGGTCGGTGGTTGTGGGTTGAAGTTCGCCGCGGCGGCGGCTGTTGAACTCCGCTCTTACCAATTATTTTTTTATAGAAACTAAAGCCAACGCATTGGTGGCTAATTAATTCATTAGCGATTGGCACATAAAACGAGACAATTGCCGTATCTTTGGATGGTGATTGTCGCTGGTGTGGTGCCCCAACTGGTGGCATCTGCTGGTGAGGCTGCTGCTGCTGATGGTGTCGTCATCGGCCAGCTGCGTGGTGCGTGGTGCGCGGTGCGGTGCTACCTAGTAGAGGACACACTTTTTATGGCTATTCGATGATTACGTACGTGGGCCCTGGACGAAGAGTCCGCTTCGGCTGCAGTTGCTGCCAATTAATAAAATGCACGTACCGAGAGAAATGTATTTTGTTTGTGTTTTATTTTTTATTAACGCGCAAAAACAAGTCGTTAAAGTTTACCGCAGATGCCCCATGCCCGATTCCCGATGTCCGATGCCCGATGCCCGATACCCGGTGCCTGATGGCGATGCTGTAATAATACTGTATGCAAATCTTTCCCCCAACAAACAAGTCGGCATTGATATAAAGTTTCAATTTACGGCTCATATATCATAACTTGGTCCTCGGTGTGAGCCGTACTTATGGGGCTTATTAAGTCGTAAAAATGCGATGGAGATCCCTTACAAACGATGCTGGATGCCGGTGGAGGATGTTGCGCGGTTTTCCAATGTCCCCGAGGACCTTGAAAGGGAGCCCAACGAGGCCCAACTTATTTCCATTCTTCAAGAAGTAGCCATTGGCTGAATAATAATATATATAAAGATATAGTGATTGGATAATGATCAACAATGAACACGATCATCGCTTGAGCACCTGCAACCCTTTGATAGGGCCACCATGTAGGACGGATATATGTATTTGATCAAATTAAGTCAACAGCTCAATGTCTTTCTTGAAAAAAACTCCTAAAAATAGCCCCAAATGTAATCAGCTACGAGCACTAACTCGGATCTAATTAGCCGCACTCTTTATAGCCCGGCCATTTCCGCCAGCCTCAAAGAGTTTTTACGGTGACTGGGGGCCCGGAGAGCAGCGCCGCAGCTCCACTGAGCGGACTCTCCGCCTGACCTTAACACGAATCGCTCTCGGAATCGGCGAATCGAAATATTAAACGCAGAAAAGCCAAAAGCAAAGACAGCCAAAAGCTCTTATCAGCCGAACGAAGCGCAAACACAACGAAAACCGGAATCAAAATAGAAATGCAAAGTGAGAGAGGCAGAGAGAGAGAGAGAGAGAGCGAACAGCTGAGCGGACAATTGTTGAATTGAAAACATGTTTGCCAAGCGGCTTTTTGCCTGCCTCTCCCTGTCTTTGTGGTCTCTCATGCTCTCTCGTTCTCTCTCTGTCGCTCTCAACCGAACGAACGCGTAGCAGTCTTTGCTTTTCGAGTCTGTTTCTACTTTTGCCGCTGCTGGCGCGCTTGTTCAAAACTTTTCTCTCAACCGAGCGGACACGACACGGCAGGCGGATAGACGACAAATTACAATTTTCAAAATACACTTGACATCAAATTCACAGTGTCTTACAGTTTCAAACAAAGTAAACATATTAAAAATTAGTGCGCGTTCAGCTGGTGGAAATAAAATATAAAAGCAAAAGAATAATACTCGGCTCAGTGTTGGGCAGTTCGGAACAGGAGCAGCAGAAGCGACTCCAAATAAGCCAGAGCCAAGAAAAGCAACGCAAAGCAACGCAACGCAAAGCGAAGCGAAGTAAAAGAAAAGTGCCGCAAAGAGCATCGCAAATAGGCGAACATAACGGCAACAGTGCATAAAAACGTGACGACAGCATACATAGTTCTGCCCGTGCATTGCGCTCTGTGTGATTTTCGTTTTCGTCCAGTATTTTATTTCCTTTTTGTGTTACTCGTAATCTAAAATTCTAAGTGTTCAGTGTCTGATTTGACAAACATACATATACAGAGACGTACACATACTACTCGTACCCGTAACCGTTCCCGTACCCGTCATATTTCTGTGTGTAACGTCACTTGTGTGGTGGAGAAAATCAATTTCTGTGCTCCCATATATCTGTTCAGTTTTGCCCCGAACAATTGTTCGTGATAATCGTGAGTGACCCACCTGCCATTCTGCAGCCGCAGAAAATCCGGGCTAAACCAGACCAAAGCCGAATCGAATCTCCTTATATGTGGAGCGGTGCAGGAGACAAGGGGACCGTTGCAGCCGAGCCAGAACCCGAGTCTGGATAGAGCCATGACGGAGCATCACATGGACGTGCAGGCCGACGCGACGCAGAGTGCATCCGAGTCCAAGGCCATGGCTGCGCCCAAGGGCAAGTTCTCGGAGGCCGAGGAGGGCTTTCTCTCGACCTCGCCGGACAGTGCCAACGGGGACGCCCAGCAGGCCCATACCCACACACACATCATCTCACACACGCACTCCAAAGGAGCTGCCAAGACCCAGACCCAGAATGGAAACGGTACCCTGGGCATGGGGCTGGGGGCCCCGATGCTCCCGGGCGGCAGTCGCCAGCTCCTTCGCCAAGCATTCTACCAGTGCTCGTGTCCGGAGCAGTGCGTCACCCTGAACAACATACTGGACTCGTTCAAGGCCCCCCTCTCCGAGGACCAGGCCTGGGCCCTCATCTACCAGTTCGGCTCCCTCTACTACAAGGTGGCCGCCCAGGCCCACAAGTCCGGCGGGGACTACGAGGCCGACCTTCCCAGCCGCTTCGAGCTGCACTTCCACCGCGACGGCAATGTGCACTTCTCTGGCGCCGAGCGGCTGCCAGAGCTCGTGGAGTCGCAGGAGCAGGAGGCCTCCCAGCAGGAGCAGCAGCAGAAGCAGCCACAAATGGATGACAGTGCCACCAGCAGCGTGGACAGCAATGCAGCCCTCGACAGAGGTAAGTGAATGTGCCGTGCCACACGACAGGCAGGAAATTCGAGGTCTTTGGGGGGGTCCTTTTTTTTGGGGCAAACAGGGTGCCACAGGGAACTCGGAACTCGCGCTTGGAAATTTTGGAATATTTCAGAGAATATTTGTATTTTCTTTTCATGCATAATCTGTTCGCTCTGACGATTATTCCTATAAACATGATATTTCTTATCTGATCTGCCTTTATATTTGTGTTTGCATATGTATTTGTGTATGTACTCGTATCAGCTGATCCGTATTGGGTTTACATATTGCAGTGCAGTCGAACTTCTCTATTACGAACTTCCAGAACACTGCAATGCTATATTCTGAAAAATTAATTCTATATCACGAATTCCTCTTGAGATTCGGAGGTGTTCGACTGCATATAATTTTCATGGCTATAATTCTTATAGTGGAATCTTAAAGGCACGAATTTATTTATTTGTTTATTTAAACATTTTTAAAAATTAAAGGGGAACTGTTCTAATTTGAGGAATGAGAATATTTGTTTTTTCCTAGCTTTTCTTTTGTCAACTACTCCACCAGAGGTTAGGGGTTACACCGTGACAGTGATGGAAACTAGCGTGTGGGTTTAGTTTTGGCCTGGCAACCGGTTAGGGTGATCTGGGGGTCTCGTTGTCTCCGTCTCCGTCTCCAGCAAACGCTTTCATTTTCACTTAATAAGCTACAGTTAGCTTCTTTCATTTTCTGGGGCTTTTATTGTCGGACAGTTGCCCTGATGTGCGTTTCCGTGTGCCATCCATCGGGGCATCGCTGGTGACCGCTTTCCAAACAAACAACCCACACAACGGAGCCGATGATGACCTCTGCATTTAAGTTATGCAGCCCGCCGAGGTTTGATTGAGGTTTTTCTCCAGTCCGCTTCTCCGTCTGATTGCGTGTTGTCTTGGGAAAGTGTAAACGGCGACTCCCATGAAGAAGGTCTCATCCCATCCCCCATCTCCATCCCCCTTCTGCGAGTATAGATGTCTGCTTTTTTCACTTTCTTTTGTGGCTGGTGTTGGTGCTTTGCCTTCTCATCACAGCTTGGTATTTGTTTCTCTATTTCTTTCCTTCATTTTTCTGTAATTGATGAGGGATCTTCCGATCTGTCCCCAGATCTCCAGATCTTTCTTTGGGAGAACGTGTCTGGGCCGAGTCTGAGTCTGTGTCTCCCAGCTAATTGTTTAATCATTCGATGCTGTCAAAATACAGCCTGCTAAGGTATCGACTTTTAGATAAGCCACGTTAATTGGTAAATGTATCTGTGGCTGTCTTTGTGTGGGGGTTCGAATGGAATCTTCTCTCACGTGTGGCCCGCCCCACAGATCACACAAGACTCGGGGCTTTTCGGGTCCCGAAATGGCTATTGCATTCTACTACATTTCCAACCTTCGGTGCGATGCTCTTAAGGCCTCTCTCGCTCTGTCTTTTTATGGCCATGGACCAAGTCTGTTTATAGCCATATGTCCGCAACGACAAGGCCAATTTAGTGGGGCTTCTTATAAGTAGAAGAGTGTAAGCAATTAGCCAGAGACGGGTATTTATTCTTAAGGGCATACCCGCACTCAGCTGCAGATACAGATACAGATACAGATACAGAAGCAGGAAGTTGGCTGGAAATATTAATTAAATTGTTCGTCTGCGAGTTGAAAGAACCATCAAGGCAGTTGCTAACGCTGTTGGCCAGTGTACACTGTCCATATTATGTGTAGATGGAATTCCCATCAGAGGACATTTACGATGAGATAATGTCGAATCTTAAAACTTTCTTCGGGGCAAATAGAACACCTTGCAACACCTTGATTACCACCAATTTAGAAGCTTAAATCAAACCCATTAGATACCCGCTCGTCAACGTGAGCGTCAGAGATATCAAAGGGGTTACCTCTAGCCGAAAGACCCCGCAGACCCCGCAGACCCGGCAGCGGCAATTAGTCTGCTCAAACAAGTTATTACAGAGGCCACAGAGCTACAGAGAGATACACCGAGATGCGATGGCACCTTCTAATGGGTTTTTGGTCTTCTGTTTCGGTGCTTCGGTGTTATCCGAGCAAGTTCAAAGCGATTAAAACGTGTGAAAAGCGGCGTTGAAAACGCGAGGGAATCGTTCTGCAGGTCACATTCTAAAGCTTTCAACTTGCCGCCCATTTTCGCCTTCGATTTTGGGTTGGGTTTGGGCTTGGGTTGGGCTCGTCTTTGAGTTCGGAAACGCGGTCTATCAGCTTCTGACAACCGCATCGCTCGGCGCAACGAATCATTGATTGTGCTCTGCCCCAGCCCCGCCGTGGAGCCCATGGAGACCATGGCGACCACGACCACGACTATTAAATGGCGTGGGAGATGGTGCCGTGGTGACGGGAGCGTCGGCGGCGCCGTCAGGTCGCCGCGCCCTATGGCGCCTCGATTAGGCGCGCAGCCGTTGCAGCAAGAGGTCGTCCATCGAGAGGGGAGAGTGGGGGTCGGAGGTCGCCTTGCACCGATGGCTCCATAAATTCTTGGCCAAATTGGCGCTTGAATCTGTCAACACACAAACTCGCCATTACGATTTCCACCAGGCTGGCAGGAAAATGCGGAAAATGCGGAAAATGCTCGCAGTGAAAGTCGGTGGTCTACCCCAAGGTCAGGTGTCATGCGCAGTTCAACGGAATCGGGGAAAATGTTGTGGTAGGTTCTCTCATTCTCCATATTCCTTGCTTGCACTTGTCTCTCTCTCTTTCTCTATCTCTCTGTCTCTCTTCATCAGCTGTTGATTATTGTTTCGTTGAGTTTATTCCCCCACCCACCATTCTGTTCTGCCGCTGTGAAGAAGTTTCTCCCTGGGATCCCCCACCGAAGAAAGCGGCTAAAGATTCCACCAGAAAGCCAAAAGCAATCCCTCCGCCGCATTACCCATAGACGTAGCCGTACTTTCGGGTTCGGGCTGACTGGGTGATGATGATATTTCATTTCATTTCATCGCTCGGTCTATGACTTTCTTGTTTTCTCTGCTGTGGAAATGAGTGGTGAAAAAACATCGCAGTGGCAGTGGCAGTCGCTCGGACTGGTTTAATGTATAAATAATTACACCCGAATATTGCCCCAACGAGGGCCACAGCCAAAAAACTAGAAACTAGAAAACCCAAACAAAATCATAACGAAACTAATTGTCCAACAAATTCCGAATCAACCCCAGTAGTGGCTCTGGGCTAAGCGGAGGGGTTACCTCCGAAGGGCGGGGACAAATAAAACAATGACATTTCAACATTTAATTATTATTTTAAATAAAAAATCCCAGAGTTTGCTCTTAATTTCGTCTTAAAAATGTCTCTAAACTGGGTCCAAACAATGCGGGTATGCGGATCCACTGCCGCTTTGTTGGAATCGTTTCTTGGAATATTCCTGGCCCAGATTGAAGACTCTTGTATTAGCCAATTGTAGTATCATATTTCGTATTCCACTGAACACATGCTGATGACCATCTCCAGGTGCCAGTCGATGCGATTTTGCAACATTTTGTGGCTCGATTTATTTGGAATTTGTGGTGTTGTGTTCGCCTCAGATTAGATGCATTTCCTATGATTTAGGAGCCCCAAGCGACATGGCATGTGGTGTGGTGGACGCAGACCCCAATATAATTGCTGCCTATTGTTGGCTGTGCTCCAGTTTTGGGGTCAAATTAATATAATAATATTTCCATAATGACAGCAAATGACATAAGCACGAACCTGAACCCAATCGCGGTTCCCCAGTCCCCCAGACCCAAAAGTAGCTTGCTTTTTTATGGTTTTTTTTTGGGCCTCTCCTATAAACTTGTCCACCTGTGCAGTTTGCATCTGTCCGTCCGTCCGTCCGTCTGTCTGTTACGAAATTCTGCGACTGTGGGACTGCATTTTGAAATGGAATGAAAATCGTTTGTCCGCGGGTGCGACCCTGTCGGAGATTGCTTTTGAAAGTGCCTCCGCCGGTCCAATAAATCAAACGATAATCCAAATTGTGGCTCTGCGTTTCATCTCTTGTTCCGATGACACTTGTGGCAGTGTGTGGGGTCCCGTCTCTGACAAGTGGACCCACGGATCGGAGTGGCCCTGAACACCATACCATACCTCCTCCACCTCCAGTTCCAGTTCCACCTCCAGCCCCAGCAACAGCTGTTAGATGCCCGGCCAAGGTCCCGTGCTTTCCATATTTATTCGTACTCTTTAAATTATAAATAAATTTTGATGCAATTAAACGCAAAAGCCAAAAGCCATAAACCAGAAATGCGCCATCGAAAGAGCTGTTTTTCGTACTCCTATCTTATCGGTTATACCCATATATATATGCCTATAGGTACTGTATATATATAGGCATAGACCTGGTCATAGACTCGCATCGAATGTGTGTCGAGTGGCAGCCACATAAACAACACCTCCACTTCGATCCGGCAAGTGCTCAGCAATCCCTCGAGGAACAGATTCAGCTGAATTCAGAACCAGAAAGTACGGATATTCTTTATCAGGGGTGATCCTAAAAGGCTTGAAGCCAGACACCGAGTAATCTTTACTAAATGGCAATACAATACGATATCTTTGAAACTGAATGAAGTTCCCTTCGAAATCGGTCAGCTATATAATGGAGGCATTCATAGAGCCACCATGGGATCTCTATGGTTGCAGCGATCTAATTTCTTTTGACACATTTACCTGGGGTGGGCGTGGGCGGGGCTGGCTTCGGTTGGGGTAATTCACCTTGATGGAGATTTTAGCATGGAGCCGCGATGACTGCGCAGGCGCGACTAAACTGTAATCGAGACTCTCGCTTTCTCGCTGGAGCTGGGGCTGGGGCCGAGATTGGGATTGGAGCTGTGCCTGACTCGACTTGATGACTGTGAAATTAGACAGCAGTCGGCAGTCGGCAGACGGCAGCGGGTGCTGTCTCTCCCCGTATCGCTGTTATCATAGCCGACTAACCGACCGACTGATTGACTGACTCCGGCTCTGGTGCTGGTGCTGGTGCTGGCGCTGT